TAATTTCATTTCATTTAATTTAGCTATGTGCTTCTCAGATGGGAATAAATTCAGAAGCCATTAATCAATGGACTTTAGTATATAAAGACAAATTACGTGATCATTCAAAAATAAATGCAGCAAGAATGTAAATAAATTGTCAATGATAAAAAAGAATGAATGATTTAAATAACTGCTTTGCAGCTGAAAAATAGAGAAATAAACAAGAAATGGAAGCAAAATCTGGCTAAGCTAAAGAACAAGGCAAGATAGGTGCATTTAGCTTTAACCGGGAAAAAAAATTTTCCATTTATTTTTCTCTTCCATTCCCGCATTTTCCCGGTAACCAAACAAGAAAGAAATGCTGGTTACCTTGCCGCCAAGAGAGATCGTTTCCATATCGATGGAAACGGAATCGCTAGAATCTGCCATTTTCCCCCTCTCTCTCTCAAACTGAAGGCGCATTTTTAGAATTGGCTTCCATGTCTTATATACCAAACCTCCCTCTCGGTCCCTCCTTTCCAGATTTCTCTCTCTATTAAAATAAAAATAATAACCAGAAAAATAGAATATACATATATTTTTTAAATTTGTCTATCTTGTTTCCATCCAAAAAAAATGTCTATCTCTAAAACTACAAGTTTTACTCGTGGTTAACTCGGACTGAGTCACCGACGGCCGATTTATGAGAAAAGAGACAGACAGAACTCACAAGGGTCCCGCACAAGCGGGCCTTAACCTCGGTCTCGGGTCTATTGAACCCTAGTTGAGAGGCCGACAGTTTCGTCAATTTTACATTATTACCCTCGTTTTAACTTCACAATTCACTAGTTAACCACAAGCCTATTTGGCTGCTTGTATTTTAATTTTCTAAAAACTAACCCATTTTAAAAAAAATTTGTCATTTAAGGATTAAACTATTCTGATAGTACCAAGATTGGAGTTAGGTCATATAGTGATTTGTTGACTTTTGACTGATTGGTTTTATGTGTGATATGATCAAATGAGCTCAACCGTTTGATTTATATATCGAAGTAAACTACTACTCGTATTTTATTTTTTCATACACATTGCTTTTTGTTTTTGTTTTTGTTTTTATTTTGTTGGCATTTGTCATCGTTTCAACTAATTCGAATGATTTTAAATTTTTTCAAATAAAAGATTATTGTATAAAATGCTTCAATTGGAATTAGCCTCCTTAATATAATGAATAATAAAATTTTAAAACAAAATAAGATGTGTTATAATATTTTATAATCTTCATCGATAGGTTTTTGATAAACTTTTAAATTTAAAATTACTCAATTTGGATATGAATGAATTTTCTGATCGAGTTTATCCTTTATTTATATTTACTTTAAAAATATTAGTAAATCAGATGGGTAAGATTTTTTTTTATTTTTTGAAAAATAGTGATAAAGGCAGAAATGATGAATTGATGATATCTATATTAAAATTTGAGAAGGGGTTGGATGAAGGATGCAAAGTCGGGCAATCAGCCACAGGATCCAACAGTTGAGACATCATCAAACGGGTTGGATTGAGATGGGGCCCATCCGCCATCTATCGCATGCAAACATTTGTAACGTCATTTTCAGCTCAAGTTGGTATCTGTCATTACCATTCACCAGACAGTAACCCGCAAGTCCCTCTTCGTACCGCTTTCATGTCGTTTTACTCAAATTAAAAAAACGTTTCGCTTTTTCCCTTTTTCTTCTTCTATTTACCTTTAATACCATATTTACAAAAAAAAAAAAAGGTTAAAAACAAAAAAGAAACTGAGAACAATGGGCTGAAATACAGCTATTTCCTTTGTCTTGCAGATACAAAATCACCATCACGTTCAAATTTGTTAAAGATTTTTTTTTTATTTTTTGGGTTTTCTTTTTAGGTAATGAGTGGGTTAAGAACATTGTCATGAGGAATATGACCTTTTTTCCTAGCTTTTCAAGCCATGTATTATTGGTTGCTGCTTTAAAATAAGGCAGTTTGAAGCTTTGAGAGATGGACATTTTACCTCACAAAATACCCAAACTTCTTATTTCCTATTTTAATTTAATGTCACCAATCTAACAAAAAAAATTTAATGTCACCATCTCTTTGTTTTATGCATTTATTTATATTTATTATATGTTCTATTTCTTTCTTTTTTTTGGACTTAATTTTAATTTAATGGCAGTGGATGAGTCTTAATAAATTAAATCCAAACTACCCTCATGCATGTACCATGTTTATAATTATTGTAGTTATATAACAAATATTAATTCCTTTTTTATATTTTTTTATTTATTGTATCCATGATTTCAAAGTTGCAAATTGAGAAACTTGCTACAGCCCTTTTCTTTTCACCAATACTATTTTAATATATACATAGTTGTTGCATGTATTTATGAAATTCACCTACAAACTGTGAGTCCCATATTAATAAATGATGAAAATAATAATGTTCGAAAAATTAATTTGTAAGTTGGGACCTCGAATGTTTCCGTACCGTGAAGCAAGTTCTATGTATAAATTCAAATTTTCAAGCTCAAAATATCAAGCATTAAAATCAGATTTAATATTGTTACATCTTATGTATCAAAAAAGAATTATTATCATATCTCAAATCAAATGGAAAAATTAATATCATGATATAATTTTAATTTAATATTCAAAAGTTGCCCTCCGTGATTTTGGATTGGTTCACATACTGTCTTTAACGTGAAACAACGACATGAAAAAATATTATTGATTAAAAAAATTAATAAATATGTGATATAAAATTATAAAAAATATATAAATTAAGATAATAAAACAAGGCCGTCTACGGTTTAACTATGATATTTACTAGCTTAATCATTTCTAGTTTTGTCCCACGGGCAACAAAGAGTAGGAGGTTGTATGAAGAAAATCGAAGTGGGTATCTCACCATTTTTCTTTTGCTGCTGAGAGCCAGTCTTAGTTCCGAATCTTTGACTAGGAAACTGGCAAGTACATATATATGGAAGTTCTAATGTCTTTTTATCATTAACCCAACAACCTCATTTAAATTACAAATTTCATGATCATATTTGTTTATTATTACAAATTCTTAATATATATATATATATATATATATTTGATGATTCAAAGGACTCTTCCTCTGATGTGATCGATAAGGGAATACTTTTTTCCAAGGAGCTTTCAATCATTTGTGTGTAATTTATAACCGGATGTCGATATATTAGCAGCACTTGGGATAAAGTATAGATATTGTATGGCTCCACACTTCTCCTATTTCATCACGTTACTGTTGGAAGCTTCCACGACCATTGGTTTTTTTTTTTTTCGTTGCCTTCGGATTTCTTGCTTCATTTTTGTATTGCTTTTCAGGGTGTGAAATTTTATCTGTATGTTTAATAATTTAATCATTTTAAATTCTAATCTTATAAAAATCTTTCATTAATATTAACATAATATGATAATTGCAAGTTTATTTATCTCTATAAATAATAAATTTGAATTTGAATCCTACTGATAATCTTTGATTAAAGCGAATTTGGATGCATCTAAATCCTTTCAATGGTCAGACAAAACCACTACTCTTGTTCTCGCAGAGGAAAATCTCCGTGGGATCGGGTAATTTACAGCAAAAATAATTGAATCCGGTTTTAGTCAACCACGTACACGTGAGGTTGTCTAAACTAGGATGTATACATTACGGGAAATTTTCTTCCTTTTTGTACATTTTGAGACCAAGCTTTGCCTTGCAACGGTCAGCACCGACACAGCGGTGGTCCAACTGAGTCGACCCATAAATCAGATCCGATTAATTTGGGGCTTTATAACTTTGCATTAAACTTCATTTGTAACATTTAGCTCTTAATTTATTAAATCCAAAAACTAATCATAAATCACAGAGTAGACAGAGAAACAATAAGGAATTTTCTTACGTAGGCGATTGGAAAAGACAAAGTCATGAAAATCTACGTATTTTGCCCCTTTTACTTTCTTTTTGTTTCTGAAATGTAAAGCCAAAGGGAAGCTTCTATCCTTTATTATTATTATTATTATTATAATTAATAAGTGTCGGCGACAGGATTAGTTGATTGGCATTGAAGTACATGGGGGCAGAGGAGGATTTGGACCAAAGCAAAGGTTTTAAGGAAAAAAAGAAAATAGCAATTTTCTCCTCCAAGCTTACATGGCACAAAAAGGGTGGGCGTTTGGTGAAAATTTTATGGTGTTCTTTTTTGGGGGAACTTCTCGTGCCCTCACGTCACAGTAATCACATCACGGGGGAAGAGAAGCCACGTGTCGTTAATATGAAGAAGATTGTACACTTTGCTTGTATTACAGGCGATTGTATCGTAATAATTGGGATGTCCATGTAATGTAACTAATATGTAATTTGATCAGCAATTTTTTATATCTATTAAAAATATTAGTAATACGAAAAGACAAAAGTGTTGAGATCTTGGCCTTAATTATTTTATGGTTGGAGAGCGTTCTCGGATTGGGACCTACCATGAATTACACGTGATGAATTAATGCCTTTTCCTTTTATGCAGGTCAGTTCCCCCTACAAAGAAATCTAGCCTTTTTCTTCATTTCCTTTTGCAATAAAAATTATTGCAATGCAAAATCTTTTTGGTCTAAAATGTAACGCCAAAGCACGAATCAGTCCTTGGCATATTTCTAGTGTCGGTAGGATTTGGAATTCGGAGTTCTAACTCATTGAGCTATACTTCCAATGTACCCTTTCCAAAAGAGTGGGAAAGTGGGCAAGTGAATGCTGAAACTAGAACGATGTCGGCAGCCCAGCTTAGGGTTGGTCTGGAGAGATGAAATCTTTTACGCTTTGGAAGATTATGATGAGTTTATATAGTGGATACTCAAGCTCAGCCCGGCCCAAAGGCCCCAAGTTCAACAAGGGAAAAGGGAATTCATCCACCTGTCATGGCCAAATCCAGCAATCAGGAGAGTCCTGAACTAAAGCACCTTCTCCATGCTATCTCATTAGAAATGAAGAGGGAAAGAGAGAAATGAAATATGGGCAGTTAATTTCACTTCTATTACTACTTGATTCCTTTGCGCAGATCATATACTACAATAACTTGGATATATTTCCTCTACAATGGCATAATGAACAATTCGAGGGGGTGATTTAGAAGCCGATGCTGAAGTGAGAAGCCATCATCCAATGTCAAAATACTGACTTCTTCAGCCACAAAGCCTTCAAATATTGATACAACTAAGAGAATCATCAAGTTTGGGGTAAGGCTGAATCATAAACTTGGCCTTCAAAAAATGGACAAAAAGATCACAAGCCGCATTTCTATCTTTATCGGCATGCAGCCAACCTCAAAATATAAGATATGGAATAGAGTAAATTCAGTTGCAGAATGTTCTCATCTGCTCTTCGTCGAAATTGACTGTAACAGCAGTAACTGTCTCAGAAACCACATTCACCAAAATCATTTTGTTTACTGTGATCAAGTTGCTGCCTTAGTCGGAACTTATTGTTCCACATCTTTCATATCTTCATCTGAAGCTGGATTGTCAACCTCACTCCCACTACTCAAACCATCATCTTTAGCCAAAGACAAAAGCTTCTCCCTGACCAAATTTTCATGAAAGTGATACTTTACAAACTTAACAGGTATTTCCTCTTCAACATTGCTCCCTTCTTTGCGTTTTCTTACACCATCAGTTGGTGTTGATTTCATCAAGCAAGGAGCGGTCAAGGGAACAGTATCCATAGAATCAATCATCTCCAGATCACCATCAGCTTTCTTGGCTTCTCTCCCTTCATGAACCATGTAAACAAAATTTTGACCCAAAATTTTGCCATTGGTCTTAACAACCGGGATCTCATATTCAGCCCTTGACTTGCAAAGCACTGCCTTGGCATAAACCTTGGAGATGTCACATTCAAATATTCTCACACCTTGATCCTCAATGATGAGAAGCCACTCTGAAAATGCAGCCACTTTATAGTTAGACACTTAAGAAACCAATGTCGAAAAATTATTAGAATAAAGAGGAAAGAATTACAAATCATGTGCGTCATATGGTTAGATGTCTTCCAAATTCGCACTTTTAGCTACCGAAAATGCGACACATCCAATGCAGAGGTTGCTGGACTAGTGATTACATATGCTCCACTTTGGACAACAGTAAGAACAAAATATCTTCATATCATCACATAGCATGCTGACAATCTTAACTGGACAATCCATTGAAACAGGTGCTGAAGTCCTGACAAGTGACAACAAATGACAAGAGCATAGAGATAGCAGGCAACTCACTGATCAGAGCTACGGGAGTGGAAACATTTAGGCTCCTTGCTTTGTCCCCCATCCCTGTCTGACTAGTAACCCAATTGATCAACTGAGAGGGTAGGCAAGATTCAGAGAAAGCATTTATGTAAGAGATAGCTTTGGTCTGGTTACCATTCTCCCTGTGGCATTAGATTGTGACTCATGAGATTCCTGGATGAGATATTCTAATAAATAACAATGGCATCTGCCAGTCCTCACATTCATAATCATACCTCACTGACCATATGGCATTGTCAGCAACAAAGGACCATGTCAAAGCAAGATCTTTTAATTGTTTGCCAGGTAGCAGAATCCCCCCCTGGGGACAGAGGAATGTATGGTCCATCGTTATTACAGCATCATACAAAATTTCTCTTAAAAGAATTTCATTTCCATGGCCCTGCAGTAAAATGAAGGTTTATTCAAGTATCTCAGGGGCAAGTACAACCAACCTTATTTCAAACATATTAAACAACTCAGAAGCTCAAAGTGCAAAGTAGATAGTTTGAACATTTCAAATGTCCAAGGAATTTAAAACTACTAGAGAAAGACAACAGCTTGGAAGTTTTTTGTTTGGTCCCCAAAAAATAATCTTGAGGGAAACTATTTCAAGAAAATTATTTTTAAGGAAAACAATCTATTTTCAGTGTTAGATAAAACATTGTTCTAAACAACCACTCATAGGCATAAATAATGCTAGGTGATTATAGTCAATATTAAAAAAACAGAAATATTTGTCCATAGATGATTCTTACTGGTGATAGCCAGCAGGCAATGTGACCATCAGCAATGACCACTGATGGTCACATTGCCAAAGACAAAGTCTTGCTGATTCTCAGCATCCACTGATGATAAACAAGCAGCCGTGGTTAAGAAGAGATGACAAATAGGATATGCGACTCGTTCCATTAAATTGAAGCTCATGTCTAAAACATTTATTTAGTACAGTAACCACAAGTACAGAACAGAGTGGTAATTAATGATAAAAACTAAAAGCAAGGACTAGACTAGGATCTAGCATATCAAGAACAAGATGTTTCCTCAAGGGGATTACAAATAGCGAAATATCTTTCTAGTCTTGTTTCAACATGTCGCCATTGGACTCTCTACAATGTATCTTCTACTGTTCTATTTTTCAATTCAAAAAAATATTAAAAATGCTTGGCTCTATGGTGTGAGACTACAAAAATTCCTTCTTGAATAACCAAAAGCTGAATCTAACTCTTGAATAGTAAGTAGGGAGGCATTAAAAATTAAAGCAAGAAAGAGTGAAGAAACTGACCAGTAGAGAGGTAATGGGTAAAACTGGTTCCAACAGCATCCTGAAAAGGATATCTGTTACGCACCAACAATGAGTTAGAACTACTACATTGACAACTGAACAGGAGAAGGATAAAAACAAAAACCCCACTAAGAAAAAGAATATCATGCCATTGCTGGCACTAAGGCAGGAACAAAAGCCTTGTCAAGCAGAAGAAGACATCAGATTCCCAACAGTGGCTCTATATACAATATGTCAATCAAATATTTGTCCACAAGGGAAAAGAAAAAATGATTGACGCACCTGCTTGATTGTGACTTTTACTACTTGCTCAATGCTTTCCAAGGCATGTGTGCACAAGCAAACACATACATGCATGGGCAGCAAAAGGCATGAAGTTAAGTCAATTCTACGGGCATCTACCATGGTTGGGTTGGTGTTAACTTTATCCGGTTACTCGTAAGATTAACCAAATAAGTTTTTGCTATTTGCTTTATAAAGAAACGGCCAAAGCAAAGAGCAAAAGTTGCCTTCGATGAAAATTGTATATATAATTAGTAACGCAGTGCTAATGTTGATATCAAAGTCAACCTAGAGACTAAACATCTGAGATAAACAAGCGAGTTCATCCCTATCAATTTAGCAATATCAGCGTCAATGCAGTTAGTAAAGTTTATGCCATTTTAGAATCTAGAACAGTGAAGAAAAAACAGCTACATCGATCCAAATTTTCAAATAAAAACATATCCACTGACAAGAACAAGAAAAAGAAAGCCTTACCCAGAAAGTAAAAATTCCGAAACCCAGTTATCATTTGAACCGCGCAATCATGCACGTCTTTCTCCAACTCCAATTTTGAAATCTCAGCCCCAAATTTCAAGCACAACCTCAGCAGAAAAGCCTGACACATAACAACACCAGCCAAATACCAAACCCTACAGCCTCCGCCAATCATTTTTCGAACTTCTTCGCTAGCAATTGGAAAAAACACCTTCAAGTAATCTCTCTTTTCACCTTCCTCTTCCCTACCTCTATCCACCATCCAAACGCGCAACAAATCCACAAAACGCGAACTCAAGTCGTCGTTTCCCTCAGCTTCCATACCGCAACATATGCTAATGTAACTAACAATCCCTTCTAGCAAACTCTCCACTTCTTTCTTTAACTCTTTACGATCAAAAGCTAAACGGAACAGCTCGTAAATAACGGGAGCAAGTACGGAGATTCTTGTAACGGGCTTACAAGAAGCGGAGCAGGAGACCAGAAGCTGGAAAAGGTCTTTGGAAGCGGATATTGAATTCGGAGAGTCGAATTTAGTGGAGTGGAAAGTTACTGCGGAGTAAAACCAGACGAATTCGAGGGGCGGATCTGGTAAAGTCTGTAGCAAGCGAGAGAAAATAGAGGTGAAATTGGAGAAATCGGTTGCGCCGTTACGGTACTCGCTTAAAAACCGCTGGACGGATTCTGTTAACATGGGTTGGTAAGTGTCCGGTGGTTTTGGATTGTTGGCGCTGGAATTTGAATTCGATTGTATCATTTTGAAATTTCAAAACTGAGTGAACCGTGGAGAGAATATGAAGGGAAGGTGGTGAGAGTTGGGAGAGTGAGTGTGGTGGAATTGCAGGCTGAGAGTGAAACCCTAGTTATGCGGGGAACAGCGTTCGAAAGTGGAGAAAGGGGAGGGAAGTTGGGGGTATTTTGGTAACGTCACGCATTTGAATTGGAGCCAATGACATTTCAAAAAAATGAACCCCCACCTCCCCCAACAGAAAAAAAACAACTAAATTTTAATATTTTGTGGAGTTTTTTTTTTTTGACAAGTTCTTTCCTTGTGTTTGTTTCTCCCAGCCATATTATCTTGTCTGTTAATTCAGTTGGCACTTGGTATAAGTGGAGGGAGATTTACAGTCGCAATATGCATTAGACATGTGGGAAAGAATTTGAAGAAATATGAGAAATTTTTTAAGAAAATGGATGGTTAATTACCATGATTTACTAAATTGTATACATCATTGTTATGATAGTAATTGTCATGCTCTAAAATAACGTTAGATACTTTATAATATAATGTGATTGAAGGTAATATGATTGTAAGTAATGTTATTGCAGAAAAAATAGCATTACAGTATTTGATATACAAACAAAATAATGATTAAAATGTAAAAAAGATAACATTGCAACGTTTGTTTTACAAGTACTTTGTTGGGAATGTAATGTTAATTTTTAAAATTACTCATAATTATTAAAATATAAGTTTAATATATTTATATTTTTATTATTAATTTTTATATAATATCATCACTTACATATACTTTTAATGTTATATATTTTATTTTTATTTATTATTATAATCTTATATATTTTATTTTCATTTATTTAATATAATTTTTATATTATATATTTTATTTTCATTTATTTTACCTATATTATATAAATTTTAATGTTTTATATTTTATTTTACTTTAATTTTTTATTCTTATATTATATATTTTAAGTTAATATTTTTTATTTTAATTATAACATTATAAAATATTTTATTTTTATTTATTATTATAATCTTATATATTTTATTTTTAATATATTTATATTTTTTATTATTAATTTTTATATAATATCATCTCTTAAATATATTTTTAATGTCATATATTTTATTTTTATTTATTATTATAATCTTATATATTTTATTTTATTTATTTAATATATATTTTTATATTATATATTTTATTTTAATTTGTTTTACTTATATTATATAAATTTTAATTTTTTATATTTTATTTTATTTTATTTTTTATTCTTATATTATATATTTTATTTTAATTATAATATTATAAAATATTTTTAATAAGGTAATAAAGTTTAATGGTAAAATTATCTTTAAAAACATTGTAGAGTGCAATGTAATGTGATTGCAATAGTCTATTGCAAAATAAACACTGTAATATAATTTAATTGAACACATTACAGGGAATGTGCTCTCACTTCCTCGTACCAAACGTTACTTAAGAGTATTTTACTTATCACCATAAAAACTAATTATTATTTTTTAATTTTTATTTTCACAATGTAGAGATATCAATGAATAAATTATTCATTACATTTTAGGTATTTTAACATGAATCTTATTATTTTTAAAGTACCAAACTCTACAAATGCCCAATTAAAATTTTAAATTATTATTTGAATCCTTATTCTGACTGTTATCGGTTTAATACTCAAATAAAATAAATTTAAATTAATTTTTTATGTATATTATTAATAAAAATTAAAATTAATAAATTGAGGTTAGTTCATAAAAATTTAAAATTTAAAAGTATTTAGAACAATTAATGAATTTTGATAAGTATTATATTAATTATAAATAATTTATAAATAAAAATAATATAATTAAAAATTAATAATAAAAAAATTATTTATAATCGAATTTAAATAGTGAATACTCTTAAACCACAATTTAAATTTAATTATAAAATACATTAATCTTACTTAATTGGCTCATGTAACGTCGAGTATCCATTTGTAAAGTATCCATTGATATGCAATGTGCAGAAATGAGATGCTTACATTTATATTATAATTTATGAGTTTTTTTTGGTTACACGTAATGAGGGGTGATAGGACTATATAATAATTAAGAATTAAAGACTTTCTAAAAAACCAAAAAAGAAAAAGAGATTGATAATCTTTTAACTTGATAAAGGGACGTGTTGGCTAATAATAATGATAAGTAAAGATACTAAAGTCACCAAAATAAATATAAAATAAATTAGATAATCTAAATATTTAAATAAGAAGAAAAGTCAAATGAGAATATTAAAGCATCTCACAACTTCTTCCTTTTATTTAGTTTAATAATTAATATTGTTAATTGTGGATGGTACATTCAGATTTTAGATAAATCTTCGTCTAGTTAAGGAAATAACACTTTACTAATTTCCTTTTGTCCTTGTTGAAATGTAAAACATTTATTTTTAATATCCACGTGTATATTTTTCGGAGAGCTAACTCTTGAAACATTTCGTTTGTGGAAGCAAATAGGAATAAGGAGAAGGGACAAACCACATATTTAGTACTTGAATTATGATTAAATATTTGATTATGTACTTAAAGTTAAAAAAAATATCATAATTAAGTATCGAATTTTAGTTTTATTAAATAATTTGTATCTAAAACTAAAATTGATAGTCAACTAAGTGACATGAACATCTTAAATCTTAATATTTTGTATTGGTAATTATGTAACCAAAGCAGAGTAACCGCGTACCAGCGCCAACATTGGTTTCTTAGATTATTTTTGTCTTAAGCTCCCGTCCTAATATCGTCCAAGACTAATGATACTGCATCCAGGTACAACGGGGAAGAGAATGTTGCATTTGGTTTTTTATTGGAAGCAAACAAAAAGAAAGGGCTTTGCATCGGAAAGTAGCTTATTTTATAGCTTATTATACAATTATCTTAAAGTTGGTTAAGCTATGCTGCAATGCAATCGTCATTCCACCCCATATAATTAAGAAACAGGCTAAGTGCTTTATACACGTTAGCATAATTTTAAGTGTTTAGAGTATAGATAAAAATTAACACATTTTGCACATCTCATTGTCTTATTGGAATGTTACCTGCCAACTTTGCAATAATATAACCTTTTGTATTATGTATTAATATAAATTTTTTAAGAATAATAAATTTAAATCATTCGAATTTTTAAATTAGATACATACGTAACATATTTATATTTTCAACTCAAAATACATATTTATCATTTGAAAAAAAAACTTTTTTTATTAATAAAGAGTTGAATAAGTTTTAATATCACTTGTTAATGATTTATATTTTTAATCAAAAAGATATTTTTATCAAATGAAAGAAGGCTCATTGACATAAAATTCGTGACACATAATTTAATATCATATGTCAAAGAAATTATTTATTGTAAATCTTATGCAGAACATTAAAAATAGGTCACCGCTACACTAATAAAACAGATTTCCTTGTAAATCAAACATGAATTCATATTTAGGATACGAATAACACGAAATCGACGAATCCACAAGGGCTGCAGTTGTTAATTTCGAATACTACTTTCAAACTAAGGAAAATAGTTTTTGCATGTTGCTTTATGTACAGTCCAGGAAAATATTCCATTTTGATTTCAATCTTATCCAGGCACCATCAACTTTATCTTACAACAAATACTATACGCCTATATTTTATAATTCACCTCACATTTTTCTCCCTTTTAAAGCAAAAAAAAAAAAATCTTTAATTTTTTTACTTAAATTTAAAAGTATAATATTTTAAAAATTACTAAATTATTTAAAAAAAATTAAATAAACTCTTATTCTTTACCTTATATTCAATTAAGTTCATATATGTTTATTTTTAATCAGATAAATCTTTATAATTAAAAGTTAATTAATTCATATTAATTAAGATGTTACTTATAATTTTATATCACGTGATATATTAATATGATAATGTGATATATTGATATGATTTGATAACATGAATTATATAATATTTTTCATTTTTTATATTAAGGTCATGTTAGTGTCGTGTAATATAAAAATAATAAATAATATTTTTATTAATAATAATTAGTAAACGGTTGGTGAGAAAGATACATTTAATTTAAAACAAAAATATATGATTTTAATTGAATATTATAAAAAATAATTTATTTTAACTTTATTAAATACTTAAAGAGCTTTTTAAAATATTTGTTAAATTTAAATAACTCACTATTTTTTTATACCCTAAATCCATGTGAATTAATCCGATTATTACCTAGAAAAGTTTCGTTTCTTTATTGATTCTCATAAAAAATATTTTGTAATTAAAATTCTGAATATATCACATTAATATAAAAGAATACACTTTTAAAATCATTTGAAAAAAAATTATAACTAAATAAAACTAGAGATACCATTGAGAGTGTGCTAAAAAAAAAAACTCGAAATACTCTAGAGTATATGAAATAAAATTAAAAACTGTTCAAAAAATAAAATAAAATATTTTTAAAAAATCCCACTTTCAAAAGCGGAAGATTCTTGGTGTTATTATGGGTGTTTTGTTTAAGGACAAAAATTGGGTTATAATTGAAAAGCAAAAACAAAAGGGAAGGAGAAGGAGAGGGCATTGTAATCTACGCCAAACATGGCCTCAACCTCATCCATAAAGTTGAGAAGCTTAGGCTATTAAAATTGAAACCAAAGTCCACGTCGTTTTCATCAAATGGCTAATAGCTAGAGCCCATCCATTCCCAATTTTTCCATCTCGTAGGGCAATTTACATCTCAATATTCGCTTAATTAATCACCAAATAAACATAAAAGGAAAAAGAAAAAGGAAAAAAGAAGGAGAGAGATCCAATAATCAGCCAAAAAGCTACGTCGCATTTCCTGCTCCGTCATTGTCTTCCAATCTCCATTTTTTTCCTCTTCTTCTCCCAATTTAAAAGAAAAATAAAGAAAAACTGTGAGAGTCTCAATCGACGGAGAAAGAGTAGGGAAGAGAGAGTGAAATCTAGTCTTTGTTCATTTTCTCGAAAGAGAAACTTATTTGTTTTTCTTTAAAAATAATATCCAATCGATGTTCATTGCCGGTAAAAGCAAAAGAGAGAGAGAAAACGCCGATAAT